GTCATCAGTGTGAGTGCAGAGAGAGAGTCACGCTTTGTGGAGAGAGTCACGCTTTACACTGAATTTAACCCTTAGACATGGGTCCAAAGAAAGCCAGAAGTGGTAATGCAGACAAAGGTAAGCGGAAAGCTGTGAGAACAACTATTGATCTGAAGAAAGAAATCATTACCAAATATGAACAGGGCACACGTGTTTCGGATCTGTCTGCTGAGTATGGCGTGCCAAAATCAACCATCTCTACTTTCCTTAAGAATAAAGCTGTTATAAAGGCTGCCAATGTTGCCAAAGGTGTAACGCTGATAACTAAGCAAAGGCCTCAGATAATGGAGGAAATGGAGAAGCTGCTCCTTATTTTCATTAAAGAAAAAGAGTTAGCAGGTGACAGCATCAATAAGGTCGTTATTTGTGAGAAAGCACTACAAATATTCAGTGATCTGAACAAAGAAACACCTGGTACAAGTGGTCAAGGTGCTTTCACGTTTAAAGCCAGCAGAGGTTGGTTTGAGAATTTCAGACATAGAAGTGGCATACATTGCGTCACTAGGCATGGGGAAGCAGCTAGTGCAAACCAGGAGGCTGCTAATAACTTCATTAAAGAATTTAGTGACTATGTCAAGGCAGAAGGGTTTGTTCCTGAGCAGGTGTTCAACTGCGATGAGACCGGATTATTCTGGAAAAAAATGCCAGCCAACACCTACATAACCAAAGAGGAGAAAGCGCTACCAGGGCACAAGCCTATGAAAGATAGGCTTACTCTTTTGTTTTGTGCAAATGCAAGTGGTGATTGCAAGGTAAAACCCTTGCTTGTCTACCATTCAGACAATCCCAGGCCATTCAAAAGGCACAATGTAATGAAGAGTAAATTGGCTGTGATGTGGCGGTCTAACACCAAAGCTTGGGTTACCAGACAATTCTTTACAGAGTGGGTGCGTGAAGTTTTTGCACCTCGAGTGAAGGAATACCTGGCAGAAAAAAAATTGCCTTTAAAATGTCTATTAGTGATGGACAATGCTCCTGCTCACCCCCCAGCTTTAGAGGAAGATCTAGTTGATGACTATAGCTTCATCAAAGTAAAATTCTTACCCCCCAATACAACCCCTATTCTGCAACCCATGGACCAACAGGTCATATCCAATTTCAAGAAATTGTACACAAAGGCCCTCTTCCGGAAGTGCTTTGAAGTGACAAATGACACACAGTTAACTCTGAGGGAATTTTGGAAAGAACACTTCAACATCCTAAATTGTGTAAACTTGATTGACACTGCTTGGAGTAATGTCACTCATCGCACATTGTATGCGGCATGGCGAAAACTATGGCCCGAAAGGGACAGTGAGGGTTTAGAAGCTGAGTCAGCTCCTATCGTTGATGAAGATGTTGCTGTAGTTGATGATATTGTGGCCATAGGAAAGACCATGGGCCTTGACATTCAACAAGATGACATCAACGAACTTGTGGAAGGTCACGCTGCTGAGTTAACCGCCGAGGAACTGATGCACCTACAACAACAGCAGCAGAAGGATATGGTGGAAGAAATTTCTTCTGAAGAAGAGGAGAGAGTGGAGGATATTTCTAGTGGCCTTATTCATGAAATGTGTGCAAAATGGGCAGAAATTGCAAACTTTGTTGAACAACATCACCCTGATAAAGTGGTAGCAAATAGAGCAGTTAACATTTTTAATGACAATGTTATGTCCACTTTCCGCAAAATTTCTGAAAGGAGAAAAAAACAGCAAACAATTGAAAAATTCTTCCGTAAAGAAATCAGACAAGTAACTGCAGAGAAAGATTCTGATTCTCCTCAGCAAAAGATACTGTACAGAGAACAGAAACACCCGAAGAGCAGTTACCCTCTGTTTTTATTGAAGAGGACTCCCCTTCAAGACAATAAAGGTTGGTACAGGTACAGTAAATGAAACACAATTTACTGTACTTTACAGTACATTTTATTTTATTTTTTTTAATACATACTGTACACTTTTATTTCTTGTTGAGACTTATGTTTTTCTACATATTATATACAAATTAGGCCAGTAAATAGGCATTTTCTGGGGCTTGGAACGAATTAATCCAGTTTCCATTATTTCCTATTGGTTTCATTGCTTCGGTTCTCGAACAATTTGGTTCTCGACCGTCCTCCTGGAACGAATTATGTTCGAGAACCGAGTTATCACTGTAGCTCTTTTGCAGTGTCCACTTCTTTTCAGCTAAATGGGATGCTGGAGATTGACACAGAGAATGTCCTGGGCTTTAGGCAATCCCTTATCTAGTCCTTTAATCTAGTCCTTTAATCACAACAGCCATGTTTCGAAATTTTACCCATGAGAGAGCTGGATTTGTCCTGAGATTCCTGGCACAGTCTGAGAAATACTTCTTTGTAATGAGGATGGCTGGAATAGAGAGAAAAGACCTAAAAATCATGAAGCTCTTAACATGAGCTGAACACTTCAAAAATTTAATAATTTTTATCACAAGCCTTTGCTGTAGGTGTCAATCACTAGTTATATTTTGTAGAACTTGAGACTCAGAGGTGTTAAGTAACTTGTTCAAGACTTTAAACAGCTAAACTAAGAGTGAAGTTTGGGCTTGTTGATGACAAGTTTGTGATCTGAACCATGCAACATAAGGAGGTAGAGGTGCTTTTGCTTTCTTTGAAGGTATAGGCTTTCCCACCCTTCTTCATCTGGTTGGATGGATTTTTTCAGTCTGAAACATTTGCTGAAGTCCCTTATGTGCATACCTCTTCCGTATTAGGAGGTATAGAAGTTTCATAGACAAAGTCCTTGCCTGCTGCCAGTTTACTAGATGCTTCCAGGCAAATTATTCAACCTACTTATGTGTCAGCTCAGAAATGGAGTGATGGCAGATAAATCACAATATGTTGTTGGTGGGATCTCCAATAAAAGGATTATGATAAACATCAGCTATGCAGTGTGCATAACAAAACACTTGCTTTTTTTTCTGGGTCAAAGAGCTGATGCAGGCTCACAATTTGACACATGGTATAAAACTCTTGGGAATCTGAAACTTCCTTAAGTTAAAAAAAAAAAAAAGGCAACAGACACCTGTTATTTGCATAGTGCTCTATGAAGCATTTTCAGATATCTTCACAACTGATCCTCACCCCATCTGTGAAGTGGAATTAGTGTCCCCATTTTAATAGATGAAAAATCTTTCTTTTAAGAGATTTTAAATTGATTTATAGAGAGAGAGAGTAAGGGACAGGGAGAGAGAAACATCGATGTCAGAGCCTCTTCACATCCCCTATCAGGGATAAAGCCCACAACCTTGGCATGTGCCCTGACCAGGGATTGAACCAGCAACAATTTTGGTGCATGGGATTACGCCCAACCAACTGAGCCATATTGGCTAGGGCTGGATAAGAAATTTTGGTTCACACAGTCAATCCAGCTAATTCAGGCAAAGGTGCTTTATTTGTTTTATTTTATTTTTTTGCTTTGCCTCAGTTATCTAGAAAATTATCTTTTCACCTCAATTATTTGTAATAGTAGACCAGCACAAATGCCATCAATAAGCAAACAAAACACAAAGTCAGAGTCAACAACACGTAGCTGTAAATCACCAGAAACTCCAAACAATCCGTAACAATAAGGGATCATCTTCAGGTTTATTATACAGCAATGTCTGGGAGTAGTTTGGAATGGATCAGCTTTTGTAAAGAAAGTTATTTGTCTTCATTTGGGGGATAGCCAGCTAAAATTCAACTCTATTTGTTTTTTTATTTCTTTATTTCTGTGAGGGTATGAAGACCGAGCAAATGGATAGTCTACAGCAGTGGTTCTCAACCTTCCTTCCTAATGCTGCAACCCTTTAATACAGTTCCTCATGTTGTGGTGACCCCTCCCAACCATAAAATTATTTTCGTTGCTACTTCAAAACTGTAATTTTGCTACTGTTATGAATCGCCATCAGAAATATGTTTTCCGATGGTCTTAGGCGACCCCTGTGAAAGGGTCCTTGGACCCCCAAAGGGGTCGCGACCCACAGGTTGAAAACCGCTGGTCTAGAGAATTAGCATGGGAAAATAACAACCACATGAAAGCTTTAGGCACACAACCACGTTAACAGTCCAACAACCAACAGGAAGCTGATTGACAGCATACCCTCCTTTGGGGGTGGTGGTGATGAACTGTGGAGCCCAGTTCCCCTACTAACAAAGAACACCCTCCCCCAACCCCTCCTCCCAGCCGGGCAGCGTGGTACATTAGGGCTATCTGGAGGCAAGTCCTTCCGGTGTGGGGGAGTGGGTTCTTTCAGCCCAGTTTTAGGGTGCGTGCTGGTAGACCTGCCAAAGCAGTTAGGGAGCACTTGGAAGGGTGCCAGTTTTTCTAACCCGGTCCTCAGCTGGGTCTCTGCTTGGGGAAGCTGCAAGCACCTGGGGTGGGGGTGGGGGTTCCTGGCCCCAGGGCCTACAGGCTCCAACGCGCTGCATTAACATCGTCACAAGGAAGGCGCCCGCTGCGTGCACTTATTTGTAGCCAAGTGTTTGCAATGAGACAGGTACCTACGTGTTGGAGGTCACATTTGCTTGGGCTCCCAGGGGCCATAGACCTGTCTCAGGGTGAGCAGGTGGCAGGGTACCCTGGGTAGGGCGATAGGGGCTCCGTAGAGGCTGACCCCTTGCCCCCACCCCAAATGTCTAATGCCCCCTGGTCCACACTTGCGCGTGCAGGCCTCCCCCCGGTTCAGCACCCTTGTCCGAGGAGCCTCCACTTGCAGCAAGGCCCCCCCAAACCGGCCCCTTCCCCAATTCCCTGCGGCCGGCAGCGCTCCGACCTCCCGTGGCCCTGCCCCTGGGGCCTCGCTAGCCCGGGGCTGGGGGCGGGCACCTGCCCCCACCGCTCGGCGTCCCCTCCCCTTCACTTCCCCCTCCCCTCGTTCCCTCCTTCCCCTCCCCCCCGTGGCGAGGCGGCAGCGGAGGCGGCGGCGGCCGAGGCTGAGGCGGCGGCGGCGGGCGGGGCTCGGCTCGGGCTCCGCGGGCGGGCGGGCGGACATGGCGGCCAACATGTACCGGGTCGGAGGTAGGAAGGCTCGGCCCGACCCGGCCCGTTTGGGAGCGGGCTGCGGGAGTGGGGGGTCGGGGCGAGTTCACCCTAACCGCTGGGAGCCACCGGCGCCCGGGCTGAGGGCGCGGCGGGCGGGGGCGGCCGGGGCCGCAGGGGGGCCGGGGCTCCCTACCCTCCACCTTCCCCTCCCCCCGCCCGGCCCGCCGGGGCCGAGGCCACTGCACACCCGCCCAGGGGTTCAGGGCCAGGCCTGCACCTGGGGGTGCGAATTACCAGACGCCCCCTCCATGAAACTCCCATGGGGTAGGGGCCGTCGAGCCCCCTAATAGGGTGGTCTTTCCTCGCGTGGCTTCTAGGCAGAGGGGCTTGGAGAGGATGGGGACAGCACCCCATCTTCTACTTCTCTTCCGTGGGAGTGGGAGGTGGGGGTGCGGGGGGCCCAGCTAGAAAGGCCTGTTTGCGGGGACAGGGCCCAGCACCTCTCCTTCCTCACACCCCCTTCCGTTTCTTGTCCTGCCCCCCAAGAATGGGGCTTAGTGGGGCCGGGGCCCCGCGGCCAGTCGTGGGGAGTTGAGCTCTGCCTGGACGTTTGCTCTCCTGTCCGCCTCCTTCCCAGCCTGCTGCAGAAGAGAGAAATAAGGTCAAACAAACTTTCTCCCTACTCACGACGCCCTCCTCCCTCTTTCCTGGTAAAATAATAATTCAGATAAGTGGCGTGTTTGTGTGTGAGACTAGCTTTTGCTTCTCTGCTCATTAGCCGAGCTCCTGATGGATGGTGCTGGGAATGGCCTGTCTAAATGAGGCCACTTTGCAGAAGAGACACAGGAAAGAGCTACTAAGATAGACAATAACAATGCAGCCCAGCCTCTCAAATAAACACACAGTGGGAAGTTTCCAGTGAGCCTGTTAGATGAGAGGAAAAGCCACACTTGAAAATTTGTATCCTTTTGGTTAAAAGCCTGCAGCGATTTAAAAAATAACAGGATCCTAAATGGATCTGGATTACATATGGTAAAATATATTAAAAAAAGACTGATACCACCTGGGAGAGCAGTGTCTCCCAGGAAGTGACTGTGACCCCCACCCCCTCCCACTTCCCCTCATCTTCCAATCTAGATAGAGCTGTGGACAAGTTTGTCGATGTGTTTCCTCTTACCTGCTCCACTCACCTGATTGTTGTGTTTTTTTTTTAAGTTGATGATTGAAATGTACTTTGAGCTGCCAAGTCTTTCAAGATGATCTGAATTTGTCTTAGGTCAATAGTTTTATGTGAGAAGCATACTTCAGGGCAAATTGGATTGGAGGGAAAAGATGTGGAAGCAGTTATAGTATGAAAGACACATGTTTAGTCAGCCCTGACTACTCAATGATGACAAGAGGTGTCTTTGTTTGTTATTAAAGAAATGACATGTGTGGAACAGGAGTCTAGGAGAATTTGATAAAAAATGAATTGAAATGAAAATGCCAGGGAAATAGGGGTCTATGAATAGTAGGCACATGAGAGAATATATTAAGGTTGCATTACGAAGTTTGCTTTTACCCGGGAATGAATTCCATGCTTCATTTTGAACGTGAATTGCCTAATATACAAAGTCACAGATCCACAAATGTGAACTTTATGTTGAAAAGATTAAACTCTTTACTTTCTTTTATTACAGATTATGTCTACTTTGAGAATTCCTCCAGCAACCCCTACCTAATCAGGAGGATAGAAGAACTCAACAAGGTATACACTTGCATGTTCTTGATTCTAATATTAAAAGTAATTGTTGTCCATTAAAGATAATTGGGTAAAGGGCATAAGAGGTGATTTTACCTTTAGTCTCTGAAAATAAAGATTTCAGATTAGAGAATTATGCAGGATTCTGAATACTCTTCCTTTTTATAATTACCTCTGATAGTAAATGTTGTTGAATATTTAACATCTGCAGATTTCTTCAAATTGCTTAGAGCTTTTCAGAGCAGGTCATTCCTATAACTCAGTCCCTTTTTATATTTAGAGTTATAATTTGGCCGTGGCTGGTTTGGCTCAGCGGTTAGAGCGTTGGCCTGCAGACCAGAGACCTGGGTTCGGTTCCTGCTAAGGGCACATACCTCGGTTGCAGTTTGTCCCCGGCCCCTATTGGGGTCGTGTGGGTGGCAGCCACTCCATGTGTCTCTCACATTGATGTTTCTCTCTCTCTCTTCCTCTCTGTCTTTTTCCCGCTCTATCTGAATTGAAGATAAATGCAAAAAAAAGTCCTCAAGTGAGGATAAAAAAAATGTTTAGAGTCATAATTTGTATTTCTCCCTTTTTAGTGAATTAATTTTTTCCTTTTCCTGCTTTAGAAGGAGGAAGCTAGGAAAAACAGTGTTGAAGGGAATTTGTAAAATTCTGCCCTAGGCTAACTAGTGTAATATAAACTGGCTTTGTACCTCAGGCTCAAATAAATAAAACTTTTACATTAAGGTTTGTCTGTGATCACAGGTGTCCAAGGACATCAGAAGCATTATGACTGTTTGTAGCAGATGAGCTTCTACAGAGGAGGCACACGAAGAGAGTTATAAACTACACAAACCGTAGATTTCTAATGATACTTTGGTTTCCTCCAAACCACTTTGAAGGTTATTTGTGTAGCTTATGAGAATTCATAGTGTTAAATTGTTGTGGCGCTGTCTAGTTCATAGCTTTCCCCAAAATACCATCTGGAGACTAGTCCAGTTCTGAGTCCCAGGAAACCAGGTCTGGTCAAGGACACTGCTGGCTTAGGAAGCTTGAGATCTTGATTTGCTTTTGGGATCACATCAGGGCCTTGCAGCTTTAATTAATTAATTAATTAATCAATTAATGCATTCATTATCATTTTTAATCTTCACCCAACGATATTTTTCTGTTTATCTTCAGATAGAGTGGGAACAGGGGAGAGAGAAAGGGGTAGAGAGAGAAATGTGGACATGAGAGGGACACATCAATGTGAGAGGGACACATTGACGTGAGAGGGACAGACACATTGGCTGCCTCCAACATGACCCCAACCAGGGCCGGGGAGGAGCTGCAACTGAGTATGTGCCCTTGACCGGAATCAAACCCACAACTCTTTGGTCTGCAGGCTGATGTTCTAACCTCTGAGCCAAACCAGCCAGGGCTGGCCTTGCATTTTAAAAACACATATATGTTTTTATTGATTTTTTAGAGAGAAAGGAAGGGAAAGAGATAGAAACATCATGTGAGAACCATCGATTGGCTGTCCCCTGCATCCCCCCCACTGGGGATAGAGCCTGCAACCCAGTTATGTGCCCCAACTGGGAATCGTACTAGGACCTACTAGTCCATGGGGTGATGCTTAACCCACTGAACCACAACAGGTGGGCAGGGTCCTTGCATTTTTAAAACTTCTGTAATATTTTTGACCACCGTCAAATCAAGACATTGGCTTCAGGTACCCACCTTAGGACCATTTAGTTGTTACCATTCTCTTGTACCTTGTTCTTTGTTCCATATCTTTTATCACCTTTGAATATACTTAATTATTGTGTTTATTTTCATTGCCTGTTTCCCAAACTAGAATGTAAGCTAGATGTGTGTCATGAATTTCTCTGTTTACTAATACATCCCAAGTGTCTTAGAATAGTGGCTGGCCCAGAGTTATAACATTTAGTAAATATTTGTTGAATTAATGGATTTCTCAAATGCCTGCTCTTAGTACTTGTACATAGTTTTACTGTTTACAGAGTATTTTAATTCATTTGTTTTATAGATATTTCTGAGAACCTGCTATTTGCCAGGCACTTTCAGATGTGTACTTTTAGGAATTTCGGGGTGAACAAAAATAAAAAAGTAGAGATAGACATTGGCCAGATAATCCCACATGAAGGAAATTGTAGCTGTGCTAAATTTATAAACACTACAGCATGATGCATTATGAATTGTAGTTGTGAGGCACACAGTGGTTAAATGACCTGGGTTACACACTCAGCTTGAACCTGGATCATTTCACACTCCTTTATATTACCATTCACTTCAAAAGTACTCCCTCACACCAGTCCTCACCTTCTCCCTGCCCCTCTGTCTTCAACAAAGAGTCATTCATGTAATAACTGTCTTTTGGAGGCTAGGGATGACTGAACTGTGAGGAGTGAGATTCTCTGTCATTTCAAGAATGGCAGTTTGACTGGATGGAGTATTGGTAAACAAGAACTGAGATTGGCTAGTTAAGTACTAAATGTTTATGTAGGGCCTTTTATTTCTGTCGGGATGTGAAAATGATGTCTTATTCTTTTAATCCTCACCTGAGGTTGGTTATTTATTTATTTATTTATTTTATTTCTGATCGCAAGTTTATTCAACACAAAATAATCCCTCCAACTTTACTGAGGTGGTTGACCGCGTCCACGACCAAATCCGCCTCTAAACTGGAATTCAGTTGCTGACCCAGCCCCAGCCTCAGCTTTCTTGTCGGCACCAGGGGGCACAGCACTCCGCCTGTAGGTGTCTCTGTCAGCTTCCCCTCGTGTGAGTCTTGCAGGTCGCTCGCCCTCCAGACCTTTGGGCCTTGGCCTGCCAGTCTCAGGCCGGCTGCTGCGCAAAGTGGCAGGCACGATCTCAGGGGGCAGGTGGAGGTAATCTTGGAGATACTGGATGCCCTCGTTGGTAAGGTACCAGTAGAAGTGTCTCCAGGCAAACTGTTCCTTCACGTAGCCTCGGGATTTGAGAGACTGCATGGCCTTCATGACGACGTGAAGATTAGGCACATTCTTGTCTGCCAGCTCGGGGTGTTTAGGCATGTGCACGTCCTTCTTGGCCACCATCACCCCCTCCTTAAAAAGGAGTTCATAAATGGTAATCCGGTTCTTCTTGGGCATCAACATCGCGACGGCTGCTGCGTCCGAGGCCGGAGCTGGAAAGGAAGGGCTGAGGTTATTTTTTTCCCATTTATCTTCAGACAGTGGTAGGGAGAGAGAGAGAGAGAGAGGGAGAGAGAAACATCTGTGTGAGAGAGACACATCAACTTGTTGCCTCCCACATGACCTTGACCAGGGCTGGAGACTTTACCACAACGGAGGTATGTGCCCTTGACCAGAATTGAACCTGTGACTCTTTGGTCTGCAGGCCGACGCGCTAACCGCTGAGCCAAACTGGCCAGGGCGTTCAATCACCATTGTTATAGAAAATTTACTTTTATATGCTGGCTTCTGGTTTTTATTTATTTATTTATTTATTTATTTATTGTCAATCCTCATCCAAGGATAAGGGGATGTTTGTTAAAGTTGGGGACAATGAAACAAGGAAGGGTTGGGAAAATGAGCCTAGGCTGGGCTGCTGTGGCTCATTAAGAAGTCAGAGAAAAGGGGGGCCTTGGGGACAGATTCAGAGGGTTTGGGATGAATTGCTGCTGCCCATTGCTGTCTTGGTTGCGATCTTGTGGGGTCCTTTAGAGTTAGGGGATGCGTGCCTATGGGGAAAGAAGGGACGGGAGAAAGCATGGCCATGCTCCTGGAAGGAGAGTGAGCCCCAGGACATTTTTTCTATTGATTATTTTTTTTTAGAGGGAGTGGGAGGGAGAGGGGGAGGGGGAAAGAGAAACATTGATGTGAGAAGACACATTGACTGGTTGCCTACCAAAGGGCCTGGGATGGAACTGGGAATCAAACCCGCAACTCTTCAGAGCAAGGGCTGATGCACTAACCATGGAGCAACACCAGCCAGAGCAGAAAACAACTTTCTGATAAGTTTTATTTAGTTACTACTTGGGTTGGGTGTTGCTTTTGCTTCTAAAAATTGAGTACATGCATGTTGAAGGAAATCCTTCTGCACATAGTAATGAGGGTGCAGTCTTATAATGAGGACGTATTGTAAGTTATGCCTGTGGGTAAATTAATGTGTGGATAAATTAATTGTTTTTTGGTGTGTATATTATATAATTTATATATCTCTTCATATTCTGCATATTTTATTAATCTTCAAACTTGCTCTGAAATTTATTTTAATGTTAAGGGTTTTATCTTTTTTTGGTGGGGGGAGGGGAGTCACTAACATCTTTTTCTTTCTTTCTTTTCTTTTTTTTTTTGGTATGTGCCCCTAGCGGGAACCGAACCCAGGACTCTCTGGTCCGCAGGCCGATACTCCAACCGCTGAGCCAAACTGGCCAGGGCGACTAACATCTTTTTTAAAAAAAATAGAAACATCAATGAGAGAGAACATCGATTGACTGCCTCCTGCATGCCCCACACTGGGGATTTGGCCCACAACCCGGGCATGTGCCCTGACTGGGAATTGAACCGGCGAGTGCATGGATCACCATTGAGCCACACCAGCCGGGCATCACTAACATGTTTTGGCATCTGATGACCCCCCCCCACGCCAATCTCATATGCACATACAGATTTTGCACGTAATTTCAGGAGATTCCTTCAAAGTCCTTTTTTTCTTTTTATCCTCACCAGAGGACATTTTTGCATTTATCTTCAGATAGAGTGGGAAGGAAGGAGAAAGGGAGGAAGAGAGAAAGAGAAACATTGATGCGAGAGAGACACATCCGAGTGGTTGCAACTCACACAACTCCAGCTGGGGTCAGGGACAAACAACAACCGAGGTATGCACCCTTAGCTGGAATGGAACCCGGGTCTCTCTGGTCTGACGTTCTAACTGCTGAGCCAAACCGGCCAGGGCTCAAAGTCCTTTTATGGAACTCAAGTTAATACCCATCCTGTCATTTGGAGTCTTTTGGGACTAAGGGCAGAAATCTGAGAAGGAAAGTCTCTTTTCACTTGTTCTTTACTTTGGGTAAACCATGGAGTTTCTGAACTGGAAAGTGTTTTTAATTACTTTTTATAAAAAAAAAATGTATTTTGTAAGTATGGGATAGAAACAGACATGAGCCAAGCCGGTGTGACTAATTGGATTGAATGTCGTTCCATGGACTGAGAGGTCCTTGTTCAATTCCTGGTCAGGGTACATGCCCAGATTTCGGGCTTGATCCCCAGTAGACTGCTGATGGATGTTTCTCTCTCACATCGATGTTTCTCCCTCTGTCTCCTTTCCTCTCTCAAAAATCAATTAAAAAAAAACATTTTAAGAAGCCCTGGCCGGATTGGCTCAGCAGTTAGAGCATCAACCTGCGGACCAGTGAGTCGTGGGTTCGATTTTGGTCAAGAGCATGTACCTTGGTTGTGGTTCGTCCCTGGCCCTGGTTGGGTCGCTGCAGTAGGCAACCAGTCGATGTGCCCCTCTCACTTTGATGTATCTCTCTCCCTCTTCCCCCCTCCCTCCCTCCCACTCTGATCATAAATAGAAAAATAGCCCTGGCTGGTTTGGCTCAGCAGTTAGAGCATGGGCCCGCAGACCAGAGAGTCCCGGGTTTGGTTCCGCTAAGGCACGTACCTCGGTTGCAGTTTGGCCTCAGCCCCAGTTGGGGTTGTGTGGGTGGCAACCACTCTATGTGTCTCTCACATTGATGTTTCTCTCTCTCTTCCTTCCTCTTTTCTTCCTACTCTATCTGAAGATAAATGCAAAAATGTCCTCTGGTGAGGATTACCAACAAACAAACAAACAAAACATTAAAAAACCAAACAAAACAGACATGATTGTCAGATTGACTAAAATGGTTTTAGAGCTTAAGAAAGCCTCTTAATTGCTAGATGTGTCTGACAGAATAGAGATTTAAGATGCTGCAACCTAAAGGAAAAAAAATCCAGGAAAGAAATTGATGTCCATCGTGGGTTCTTATTTATACATGTCCCCACTTTTCCCACCTGTGGGTTTTTGCTCAGGGTTTTTTTTTCCTTAGACAACTCAGTCCTTCAGGCTTCACCTGTTGAGGTCCCTCTACCCTATTTCCTCCATTAGGCTTTTTCAGTTCTTTCCCCAACAGGTCTCCATGAGTGAGAAATAGAGTCTGGAAGGGACAGGAAGTAAAGGGAAATAGTGCTGGGAGTATTCTCAGGGATGTTTTACCTTTATGTGTTACTTGTGGAGAAATGGTGAAGGTTTCTCATTAGGTGAGGGACAAGATTGTAACTGGGTTTTGGAAAGTTTGGAGAGGAGATAACGTGACCAGGAATCCTTGCTGGAGTGGAGGCTTAGTGAAGGCAGGCACCATGAATCTGCACTGCTTAGCTCAGTGCTTAGGCACCTAGTACGGGCTCAAAAAAAATGTGGTGAGCCCATGCCCATTAGCTCAGCTGGTTACAGCATCATTCCTGATACACCAAAGTTGCAGGTTCCATCCTTGGTCAAGACACACAAGAATCAACCAATGAATGCATAAATGAATGGAACTACAAATTGCTTTTCTCTCTCTCTGTAAAATTTGGTGAATAACCAAAGGATATATATCTCCAGACTTTATATATATCAAATATTTAACTTAGGCCTTAGAGCAGTGCTTTTCAAACTCTTTGTGGTAAAGAGTTTTCACTATCTCAGAATGCTTTAAGTAAAATTTAAAAGGTAGAAAAATTAAATTTAAAATAGGCCTGTAAATGTATAAGCCTCCATTTTTCATTGTAAAGTTCAATAGCTATAAAATTAACTCTCAAATGTTATAACACACTTACTCAACACACTTACTCTCAATCCTGTACTCATTTTATTACGTAGTATATAACAGCGTGGGCTGTAATTTGGGTAGGTCAGCTTTAGAGATGCTTGAGGTTTTGTGTATGTGTTTGTATGTATTGTAGAGGAATACTGTAGTTGAAACTACTTAATAGCAAAGTGTGTACATAGTTCAGAAGCGAATATTTATTTTGAACTATGCCTTCCAACCCAAGCAGGTTTAATAAGAATTTAATTAGTTTATATGGAAGGAACTCACTGGTGAGGCAGAAAAAAATATTCCTTGAAACTTTTGTTTTGGGTTTTTAACATACTTTTGTGTCATCAAGAAGACAAAAATGGCTCTGGCCTGTTTGGCTCAGTGGTTTGAGCGTCGGCCTGTGGACCAAAAGTCATGGGTTCGATTCTGGTCAGGGGCACATACCTTGGTTGTGGTTTGGTCTCGGGCCCTGGTCAGGGTCATGTGGGAGGCAACCAATTAATGTCTTTCTCGAATGGGTGTACCCCCCGCCCCGCCCTGTTTGAAGATAAAATGGAGAAATATCCTCAGGTAAAGATTAAAAAAAAAAGACAAAAATAAAGAGCTTATAATTGAGGTCATTGATAGATTGTACTAATATGTAAATATTGGCCTGTTCTTTTATCAGATTGCTGGATCATTTCTTCTAGAGGATGTATTTGATCACAATATTGTGAAATATAGAAGCACTTTGGTTAGAATTTAGTATGATTTCAATTTTAAGGGGCAGTATTTCTATAAGACTATTTTTCACTCTAAAAGTGCTGCTGAACTTCATAAAATTGACAAATTTACTGTAGCACATATATATTCTTATTTCTTTATAGTCTGATTATATCTGTAAGCCTAGAGAAATTCTGAAAATTTGTTTTTAAATGTGTTTGAAATTGGAAATCACAGTAGCTTTTTATTGTACTCTATATATTTTTATAAGGAACTATGTAATGAATGATTGACCTTCTCAAAAGCTCTCAGAATTCATAAAGAATAGAGTTGGAGCCTGGGCCCCAGCTGCAGTAAATTACAACCTAACAATATTGATTGTATTCTAGACTGTAGTCAGAAAGAAATAAGAGTTTCAGTGTTCATAACTCAAGGTTTTTAATACTTTCATATGGGAAAGTAAAGTAAGTACTACTAAGATTATTGACTATTATGGATTCATAGACTCCCTTGGGCTGGAAAATGCTTTTCCAAGTAACTCACCTGGTCCATTCTGCATGATGGCTGCCCTGTACCTACAGAGCTTCATCATCAGTCCAATGTGGGGATGGTTCAGGAGAGGGTTGGGTGGTTTTACTCTTAGCCTGTGCTTTTGGGATGGTTTTGGAGGAAGTAATGTTTAACTGTCTTAAGTAAGTTCTGTTGTGGCTGCTGAAGTTTTTGTGATTAGTTTCCTAATGCTAATCAGATTTAACTATATCTGACTTTGTTCATTCATTAAAACGGTCGCATCATTTTAGTTTAATTGATGCCGGTAAGTTATTTTATGTTTGACATTTTAGTTTCAAAATGGAACCTGAACAAATGTTGCTTATCCTTATTTGGGTATTTTAGCTCTCTGATTATCCTGCAGTTGTGATTAATACAGTGTAAATGAGAGTGATCTTGTAATTGTGCTCTATCTAGTTTTGTTTCATAAACTATTTGAATCTAATATTCAGTACAGATGTCTTTTATTTTTCTTATTTCTTAGACTGCAACTGGCAACGTGGAAGCAAAAGTAGTGTGCTTTTATAGACGACGAGATATTTCCAACACGCTTATAATGCTTGCAGACAAGCATGCTAGTAAGTTGTTTTTTTTCTTGGATTAATAAAAAAATGTTTAAGTCTTTCATTTTCTACAATGTGAGGAAAAACAACCGTTTTTGTTACCTATAGCTTTTTGCTTTCTCACTTGTATTACTCTTAGATTAGATGGTAGTAATTTTTTGGGTGGTGCTTGGTTTTATTTTATTTATTTATTTTAGTTACAGATGTTTCTCCCCTCCCCCTCATTGTCACCGTCCTCCCGAGCTGGTGCTTGGTTTTAGTATATTTTTTTAGGTTGCACTATATGTTTCTTAATTAGTTAACATGTTGAAATAGAAATCTTTGCAAGTAGGCTTTAGCAGACAATCAGGCCAATGTTTTGCCATCTCTGATGGTGGTTTGAGTGTACAAATAGGAGGAAATTTATACTTCACTGGTATTTCTTGAAGGACTTCCTCCCCCCCACTCTAAATAACTGGGTAATGTTTATGTCTTTAAAAATTCTGAATATTTATTATATGTTTATAGTATTAGGCTTGTAATAAAATTGCTAGAAAAAGAAATACAAAGTGATATTTAGTCATTCCTATAAATAAAAACTCTGAGCACTGATACTTAAAAAATGTTTTAAAATTTAAATATAGTTGGTATATGTTTGACCCCTTGTTTATAGTTTAATCTGTATTGTGTTTTTTTTGTTGTTGTTGTTCAATCAATAGCATTAACATATTTTAACACCTTTGTTTTTTAAACAACAAACATAATGATTAAAAAAGTGATTTAAAATTTGAGAATGAAGGCATATATGGACTCTATATGTACTTTATTTTGAAAGCCATTTTTCAGTTTGATGCTGTGATCTGTAATGGGTCTTGGGGATCCTGAAGCTCTAGAAGGGATGTGTTATGGGTAAGGGAGGCCGTTGTGTGCACAGGTTTGTTCTCTTCTGTTGGCTTGAGAATTAGTTTTCCACTGTGTTGCCAATTTAAACAGGCAGGTGGTTGTCTCATAAGTTAAATTCCTACTATATATCCTGCTATATAGTTCATAGTGTTTTTTAATTTCTATTTTTGTATACAAAATACTCATTATGTTGTTGTATAACATTTCCAAATTATATATCGACAGATTAGGGTATTCATGTTTGTTCCTCATGTATGAGGCCAAAAGTATCGCTTTTTTTTTTTTATCCTCACCTGAGGACATTTTTCCATTTTTTGTTCAGATATAGCGGGAAGGAGAGAGAGGAAGAGAGAGAGAGAGAGGAAGAGAGAGAGAGAGAAACATCGACCTGAAAGGGACACATCAAGTGGCTGCCACCCACAAGACCCAACCAGGGCCAGGGACAAACTGCAGCTGAGGTGCATGCCCTTAGCGGGAACCGAACCCAGGTCTCTCTGGACTGCAGGCCGACGCTCTAACCGCTGAGCCAAACAGGCCAGGGCGCTTTTTTTTTCCTTTTATGTGAAAGTGAGTTTATTAGTGAAGCAGTGAGATAGAGAATGGGCTACTCCACAGAGTAGCCAAAATAATTGCTTTTTAAAATGACATACTATCCCTGGCTGGTGTGGCTCAGTTAGGTGGGTATCTTCCCGTGTACCCAAATGTTGCCAGATCTATTCTTAGTAGGAGGCTTATAGGAGGCAGCTGATCCTGTTTCCCTCTCATATAGATATTTCTCTCTCCCTCTAAAAAAAATCAATAAAGAAAAAAAATTTAAAAATGTCAGTTGGTTTTTCTACCTCCTCAATAATTATAGAGCATCTCTTTGGGTGGATTACTTCTATTTACATTTACCTGTTTTTATTAATTATTTTTTGATATGTCTTAGTAAGTTGGAGTTAGAGGTATCTTTATATGTTTTTGTTGGTATTGACTAAAACTTAACATGGGAAGAACAAATAAAATTGCCTGAATAGTTCATGCTTTATAAAGAGGATTATGAGAGGACTAATGGAGAGAGTGTCATATAGTAGAAAGATTTCCAAATTGAAATTCTGGGTGTGGATGCCACTTAATTTTCCTGAGCCTTAGTTTTTTTTTTTTTTATAATCCTCACCTGAGGATATTGTCCCATTGATTTTTAGATAGAGTGGATGGGAGGGGGAAGAGAGAGAGAGAAAAACATCCAGTGTGAGAGAGACATATCTACTGGTTGCCTCCCGCATGACTCTAACCAGGGCCAGGGATTGGTCCTGCAACCCAGGTATGTGCCCTTGACTGAGAATATAACTTGCAGCCCTTTGGTCCACAGGCCAACTCTCTAACTGCTGAGCCAACTCTCTAACTGCTGAGCCAAACCAGCTAGGGCTGTTTTTGTTTTTGTTTTTAAATGTTTCCTTTTTTTTTGAAAGAGAGAAAGGGAGAGAGTGGGAGGGAGAGAGAAAGAAACATCAATTAGCCGCCTACTGTACACACCCTACTGGGGATCGAGCCTGCAACCCGGGCATGTGCCCAGACCAGGAATCAAACCCTTGACCTCTTGGTGCATGGGACGATGCTCAATCCTCTGATGCACACCAGCGAGGCTCCTGAGCCTTAGTTTATCCATTTAAGAAAGTTTTCATTATGAGCTTTAAAGCTTTTATTACAGAAAGTTTCAAACACACAAAAGTGCAGAGAATCATATAATGTACCAGGTGTTTCCATTGCTCTGCTTTCACAGTTATTTATTTATTTATTTTCTTTTGCTTTAACAGTTATTAGCACATGACCAATTGGTTAATCAAGACCAGAAATTTTCACTGTTTTTTATCTCATAGCACACATAAGCTAACTACTAAAATTGTGCAGCACACCAAAAATATGTTTATGGTTCAGATAGGGCATTCACACTGGATGGCTATTGTGTTGCCTGTTGTCATTTTTTAATTTGACAATCTTAAATCAGTGCCCCTGACTAAATAGTCAGGTATTGCATGTTTTAAAAAAAATTTTTTTCCCTTTTTTTTTTTTAATCTTTACCTGAGGCTGTTTTTCTGTTTATCTTCAGATAGAGTGTGAGGGACGGAGAGAGAGGGAGAGAGAGAAACATCGATATGAGAGGGACACATCGACTGGTTGCCTCCAGCATGACCCCAACCAGGGCCGGGGATGAACCGAAACCGAGGTACTTGCCCTTGACCAGAATTGAACCTGAGACTCATTGGCCATGGGCAGACGCTCTAACCACTGAGCAAAAATGGCCAGGGCAAAAAATATTTTTCTTTTTTTTTATTTTTAGCATTTTACTTATTTATTTGTTATTAAATTATTTTTAATTACAGTTGATATCAATATTGACATTTATATACCTGAGGAAGTGGTCACCCCAATAAATCTAATACCCATCTGACACCACATACAGTTATCACAATGTTATTGACTATACTGTATTTTACATCCTGTTACTTGTTTTTATAAATGGCAATTTATATTTCTTAATCCCTTTCACCTTTCTCACCCATAACAAAATTTCTTTTTCTTTATTGATGTTAGAGAGAGAGAGAGAGAGAGGGAGAGATAAAAACATCGAAAAGAGAGAACATTGATTGGCTGCCTCTTGCATGCCCCCTCACTGGGGTTCGGACCCACAATCCCAGCATGCGCCCTGACAGAATCCAACCAACAATCTCTGGGTGCACGGGATGATGCCTAACCAACTGAGCCACACCATCGAGGGCTCAGTGTGTATTTCTAAAACATGGCCTTCCTCAAACTTATAAGGAGAGCCAAGAATGTATAAGGAACTCCCATGTACCCTATACCCAGATTTAACAAATAACATTTTGCCCTGTTGACTTTGTCATTGTATTTATACATAAATATATGTATATTTTTTCCTGAACAATTTAAAAATAAGTTGGAAATTTCAGTGTGTTCTTGCTAAATGCAAGGAAATCCTTTTACATAACTACAGTGTAGTAAACAAGTCAGGAAACCTGATATTTATACAAAACTATTATCTCATTCGTAGTCCTTATTCAGATTTCATGTCTCTCTCAGTTGTGTTCTTCATAGCTATATGTATTTTTTGTTAGTCTAGCATAAAATCTAGGCTAACACATTGTATTTTGTCAGGTCTCCATTATATGAAACCAGTTCCTTAGTCTTTTTGTGTGTGTGTGTTTTTAATCATCACCAGAGGATATGTTGCTGGTTTTAGAGAGAGAAAGGAAGAGAGAGAGACAGAGGCAGAGACAGAGAAAGCCGTCTATGTGAGAGAGAAACATCGATTGGTTGCCTCCCTTACGTGCCCCAACTGGGGTTGGAACCCGCAACCTTTTGGTGTATGGAACAATATTCCAACCAACTGAGCCACCTAGCCAGGGCAGTCTTTGTGTTTGACCTTAACATTTTTGAAGACCAGGCCAGTTATTTTGTAGAATATGACAAATTGTGTTTGTCTAATGTTTCTTCAGGATAGATTCAGGTTATGTATTTTTGTAGGGATGCCACAGGAATAATGTGTGATAGGGGGCATGTGATTGTGTTTGTCTAATATTAGCAGTTAGGTTTGATGACTTGGCCATGTCTTATTTTCTTGAATGTGGGTGGGTTGTGACCAATATAGTATGGTGGAAGTAATGCTGTGTGCGTTCCAGGGCCAGGTCATAAAAGGCCATGCAGCTTCCTTCTGGTGGTTTGGAATGTTTGCTCTCAGGTTATTCCTGCTTGGAATTCAGCCACCGTCCTTTGAGCAGACTGAGCCACATGGAAAGACCCTGTGTAGGTTGTATGGTTGACAGTCCTGGCTCATCCCAGGTGCCAGATGTGGCTGAAAGAGCCACCAGCTGATCCAGCCTCTGCCATTTGAGTTCCTATTGGGGCACGACAAGACTTCTGTGCTGTGTCCTGTCTGAATTCCTTACCCACTGAAGCTGTGAGCAAAGTAAAGTAGTTGTTTTGTGTCACTAAGTTTTGGGGTGATTTGTCACTGGGTAATAGATAACTGAAACAGGATCATAATGGATTTTTCGGTTTTCATGTGTGTGTGTTTGTCCCCCCCCTTCACCTGAGGACACCCCTCCACTTTCGTTCAGATAGAGTGGGAGGGA